GTAACTTTCTTTGTATAAAAAAAAAAAATCAACTTGAGCATCCAATAAGAGAAGCTCTGTCTGGTAGGAAAGAATAGCAAAAGAACCAATCAATCAACGTTTTGTGGGATGACAATGATGTGTTAAATACCTAAAAATGAAGGATCTATTTTAAATATTTTATTTTTTAAATTAATAAATGTTGGTAAACATCAAATTGTTTGAAATATTAATTTATTTCCTTCTTAAAAGTAAAATAAATTAAAGATAAAAAGTCTTTTTTTAAGTATGAAAAATTGCAGACCAATCAAAAAGTAAAAGGATGACTAAGAATTAAGAGAATTCTTACTTTATAGAAAAAAATCCCCCACTAAAGGGGAGAAGAGGAAGAAGTCTTGTGCTATAGTATTCAACTAAAATCACTATTGCAAAACCAAAATGGTAGAAATCAAAGGCAATTTTAATATGGTGGGGCCATTTTTTCTTTTAAATCAAATGACTTATACGCAATAAACTATTCAATGAACTTTAATTAAACCTAATAATTTTAATATAAAAATGATATAAAAATATAAAATAGTTATATATTTATAATTTTAATAAAAATCAAATATAAATTAAAAAAATAAAAAAATATTTATTTTTTGTGTAACGACATAAATTATAATATATAATTTTCATATTTACATATATTTGACATAAAATAATTAACAATAACATATATATTTTCAAACCTATCTTTAATTATCTTTTCTAAGAACATCTAATCCAAATGTCCAAGGTAGACTTTTGAGGAAGATGACCTACTAGACGTTCTAACCAAAACCCTTTCCCTTTTCATCAAAGGGTGACTCTTGGCCAGAAAAAAAAGTCACCCAAGATAGGGATAGGAATGGAGCTTTCTCCATTTTTCCTTGTTTCCTTTTTCTTTTTTTCTTTTATTATTTAAGAGTGATAGAGATGGAGGAGACCAATTTGAGTGTAATTTCATAAATTTAAATGCTTCTTCTTTTTATTTTTTTTTCATTTGCATATATATTTCCTTTAGCATAGCTACAAAACACTAGATAAAATAAAATCCTTATTAATTTTATGATTTTTTTTATTTAAAATTATCAAAATTTAATCTACGATCATTAAGTCTAAAAATCTAATGACTGTTAGCGATGTTTATAATAAATTATAAGATTTAAAAAGGTACCAATTACTTATAAATTTCATAATCATAAAAAAAAAAAAGGAGAGATTATCTCTATTTATAGGATCCAAAGTAAGCTAGCTTGTAATTTTACCATTGAAGGCAATTTTTTGGTTGTTGAATAACCTTTTTGGTGGGTGAGGTCTTTTGAAATTAAAATGATGAACTATTAACTATTAGTTTGAAAATTGTTACACCCCAACGGCCTTTTAACTACTGTTTAATTGCTCTTTTTTTTTTTAAAAAAAAAAGATGTTGTTTAAGCTTATGTCTTTTGACTTTGTAATATAAAGTTATGTGCACAAGCAATTCCACATTCTCCAACAAAATATAGAAAATTATTAGTAATTATTAAACAAATTTTAGAACATTTTGGTTGCTTTTTCTGTATTAAACATGCCCTTGTCATTGACAATAATCTATGATATATATAGTGAAAATTGTTTAAACTTTTCATTATTGATTCAATCGTATTTAATTTGAAAATTTTGGGTTTCCAGTTTTGTGGCATTTTCATTGATAATTATAAGGAAAATTGCCTTGGAAATGATGAAATTTGCTTTCTTCTGCATTTTGAATGCAAATCTTTGTTCTTATTGCTTTGGAACCTAAAACATATGGAAGCTGAAAATTGAATTAATTAATTTGTACCTTACAACAAGGAAGAAAGAGGAAAAACTATGGGAAAAAACAAAAATAAAGAAACTCGTAATTAATTTGTAAACTACAACAAACTTGAATGTAAAATTTCATTGTTCATATATAAGAGTTAGACTTATAATTTTAAACACAATCGGTGATATAAAAAATATATATAAATAATATAATTTTAACTCAAAATTTAATTTAATTGATTTATATAATTACCTTTAAAATGTGATATTTAATTAATTTAAAATTTAAATCTCAATACTTATAATTTTTTTTCTTATTTACGATCTCTTTTGTACAAAATAAAAAAATAAATTAAATTTTAATTAAATTTATATAATATTTATCAAAACAAAAAATGAATTTTACATTTAATGTGTCGACGCAAATTGTAAAATAATAATTTTTACATTTTACACTTGTTAGACCCGAAATAAACATATATAAAGAGAGAGTAAGAATCCATTTAAACTAATGTAAGTTTTACACTCTTTTTTATTTTTAAATCAAAATTAAATTCATGATTAATTTGGATCAAAATAATATTTTAATATGTGCCATCTAGATACAAAGATTAAAAAAGAACATAAAACTTACACTATCATATAAGTGGATCTCTCCTATATGTAACATACACACATGCACGAATTGATAATATTTATTGTTTAAACTTTTATTATTTCATTACAATTAATTTTGGGTTAAGTATATAAAAATATTTAAAACCAAAACTAAATAATTATTAAAACTCTTACGTTTTATTATAATTAATTAAATCGTCGAATATCTATTTTTATTTAATTAAATCTTTAAATATTTTTTTTTACTTAGTTAAGCCATCAATTAGACGGAAATAAGAGTTGGTAGTTAACCAATTTATATCTAAAAACTTCAATTTGTCAAACTAGATATTTTTAAGTTTAATTGATTGTAATACAACGATAAGAATTTAAATGATTATTTATGCCAAAAATTTTCTTTCAGTCCATTTTGGTTTTCCATGAACAACCTGATGCTCATATTAATTGGAGACTCCCAATTAATTGAACAATTTATTGCCTTGGGGGATTTTATCATGGTCTAAAACGTTTTCCTTTTTTGCTTGAGAATTATATTAATTGGAGTGTCCCAAGTCCCAACCTAACTTGAGTCAGATTCATAGGGCCTTGCCCCTTCATCAATTCTATTGATATTTGATCCTCGATTTACATTGGTCGTTGACTGGTTGTTGTGAAACTTTAGTGGCTAGCATTGATGGCTTCTTTGAACAATTAGGATAGGAATTGCTTCTTTTTTTGGTTAATGTGTAAATTGAGTTTGAATTATATGATTTTTTATAACGAGAGGTGTTGTTTACATCCTAACTTTTTTACTCAATACATCATAAACCTAAAACACTAATTTATTAAAAATCTAATACTTTATATGTCTCAACCAAAAACTTTAAAAATCTTAAAAAATTAAGCTCAAAATCAAGCCCGAATCACTTATTTGATGTTAAATAATTTAAAATCAAAGATAAATTATTTGTTTTTTTTGTTTAATTTTGTGTTTAATTTTTTAATATTTAAAATTTTAAGTTTTGAGATGCGATTCAAATATTTTGAAAATGAATTTTAAAAAATTATTGAAGGTTTTCAGAAATATCATTCAAGAACTTTCAAAATTTTATTTTCAAAAACTTTTAAAAATTTTTAAAAGTGAATTTAAGTAATTTTATGATTTGATATCTTGATTTTATTTTCATCAAACACTTTGCACTATTAACTAACGAGATTAAGTAAAATGATTACATGATAAATATAGGCCAATGTAAATATGTCACATGTTATGATTTTATTCGTTAATTTTTTGTCTAATCAATAAATTATTGATGGAGTTAATGTCTAAATCATGATTTTATTCAATTGATTATAATTCAAGATATAATTAATTAAATTTTATCACGTAATTAAATTTTATTTATTTAAAGGTTAATTTGAGTTTGAATAAAAGAGTAATGTCTCTGTTGATTGTAATAAAATATTAATAATTTAAATGATTGTTGAATTATAATCAAGGATTTTTTTTTGTCTTTTAACCCAAAAAAAAAAAGTATTGAAAGGAAATTATAGTCATTTCACACTGACAAAGCTCCCCTCCATCAAAAGATTAAGAATTCAAAAATCTCAACGGTCATCTCCATCTCCTCCCATCAGCAACAAAAACTTTCCCTTCCCTTGTCTCTCTCACCACATTCAAATTCAAAGCCCTCTCTCTTTCTCTCTGAGATCTCAAATCCCATTTTCAAACCCCAAAAAAGAGAAAAAAACAATGAAATCAACACCAGAAACCGCCATTGCCGAGAATCGCCGTTTCCTGGGGAGCATTTCGACGTCTTCGCTTCGAAATTTGCTTCCAAAATCAAAGCTTAAGAAAAACACCAACAAAAACAATTCTGAAAACACTCCTCCCCCAGATGCCAACATTATTCAAGTAAGTAACTCCAAATTGCTTGCTTCTGACGCCTTGATCAACCCATCTGACGGTCACCGTGAAAAGTTGCCTCCTTTGGACTCTTCTATCAAGGTTTGTAGTAAACAACATCCCCTTTTGAATTTCAAAAAAGAAGTTCTAATTTCTTTCTGAATTTTGATATTTATTTGAATAATTGTGTGGAATTTGAGCAGAAAGAGATTGCTGAATCTGAGGGAAAGAATGGAGAATTATGGAATCTAGATCCCTCTGTGAGGGTAAATGAAGAAACTTGATCATCAACTGTTTCTGGGGTTTTGTTAATCTTTAGCAAAGTTGAAGCTTGATGACTAATTGAAGCTGGGTTTTCAGTGAAACTTAATTTCCATAACTTTTTTTTTTTTGTTTTTTACAAATAGGTGGTAGTGAGAATTAGACCCATAAATGGTGAAGAAAAAGAAGTGGATCCGACAGTGAGGAAGGTTTCTTCAGATTCCTTATCCGTTGGTGACCGGAAATTCACATTTGATTCTGTTCTTGATTTAAATTCCAATCAGGTTAGTCAGCAGTATCAGTAAAAGAAATTTTTAGTTTCTTTAAAAAAAAGGCGTTTTGACTCATAAACTGTTTGTTTTTGTTGGCTTCCAGGAGGATGTTTTTCAGCTAATCGGTGTTCCTTTGGTTAAAGATGCATTAGCTGGTTACAACACGTCCAATTTTGTCATATGGACAGGTACTTTTTAGAATATATATTTGAGCTTAGCACATAGCCGTTTAAGCTAGCATCCAGCAGGTCAGGAGTTCAAGTCGTAAGACGAGTGACCCTTTCTCCTATCCCAGACTGTGACCTCCTTTGTACCAATCTATATATATATATATATATATATATATCTTTGATGAATATGTGTATCAAGAGAATTTGATGGTAAGTTGTGTATATGTGACCTTGATTCATGTAATACTTGTCAACAGACTGGAAGTGGAAAGACTTACACTATGTGGGGTCCACCAAGCGCCATGGTTGAGGATCCTTCACCTAGAAGCCACCAGGGGATTGTTCCTCGTATCTTCCGAATGCTGTTCTCTGAGATTCAAAGAGTATGCTTTTTTCTCTTCCATTCTGAATTTTATTAGAAAATGAGTATTAGGACTTTGGAAGTGAAGTTCATTGATTCCTATATTTTAAATTTATAGGAGCAAGAGAACCCTGATGGGAAACAGATAAATTATCAGTGTCGTTGCTCCTTTCTTGAGGTATGTACTGGCTTGAAGGTTCGTATAAAAAATGTCTGGACTTTTTGCTTCATATAATGTGATATCTTCTGTATGATTAATTAACAGATTTACAATGAGCAAATTGGGGATTTACTCGATCCAACTCAAAGGAACCTCGAGGTGACTGCTTGTTATTCTTTTTATCCCCCTTTTCCTTGACTAACAGTATCTCAGGGTTGAATGATGTCATTTATTTGTTTATTGGACATTGTTTCAGATAAAGGATGATCAAAAAATGGGTTGTATGTTGAGAATTTGACTGAAGAATATGTTTCTGGCTATGAGGAGTAACTCAAATTTTGATTAAGGTAGGCAGGAAACGATTTGTTGGCACAAGTTCTCCACATAATGCTTGGATGCATGTTTATCTAGCATCCTTTGTCCTTATTTCGTATTGATATGAAATTTTTGCTCATTGCATGTATTGATTACTCTTTTATATTTGTGTCTTACACAGGGGCTTTCAAGTAGGAAAGTAGGAACAACAACTGTAAATTCTAAGAGCTCTCGGTCTCACATTGTGTTTACTTTCATCATCGAATCTTGGTGCAAAGGTACAGCTAAATCTTAATTTTCTACCACCACAGTCACCACAAGATTTAATTTTGAAGATCTTATTCTTTGGGTTGTTAGCCAGTCGGGATTAGTTCAGGTCTATGCTCAATGGGACCATATGGACTAGAATTACCAGACAAAAAATAACACTTGGTTCTTATGTTTGGTTGATCATGGATTCATACCACAGGGAGTCTCATCAAAATGTTTCAGCAGTTCAAAAACAAGTAGAATCAGCCTGATTGACCTTGCAGGACTGGATAGAAACAAACTTGAAGATGTGGGTAGACAACATGTACAGGAAGACAAAAATGTCAGGAAGTCCCTATCACAGCTTGGGTACGCTGTCATTACCTTCACCTAATCTGGAAGTCATTAAGATGATGTTGTTTAGTTGTAAACATGTTTTTAGAACTTCGATGTAACAGTCATTATTGGTTATGGCTACCGCTTCCCTATAATCTTTTTGTTTGTTTCATTGGTGTAGAAT